TGTCCTCGGAGTCTGGCTCTTCTCTTGCATTGCTCTCGCCAAATGCCCGAGGTTTCGTGAGCTCGGAGCTACACGTTCTGTCATGAGATCGTAAGAGTTGCCCCGAAGCTCGCCATCGGAAGCTCCCGCTCCGGCCTCCATCGCACTGGCACATCTCCAGCGACCCGGTCGTTCTATGTGTGCCCGAGAAGCAGTCGACGCGGACGCTCTCGGCAGGGTTGTAATTGGTGCGTGAAACAATGTACATAAGTATATGCGACGACCAGTGCAAGAAGTGCCCCCATCGAGTCGAGTCATTACGCCTGAAGGATTTATACGCTGAGATCGACTGCCCTCCCTCCATCCCGCGATGTCTCTCGCATCTACCCCCACATCCATGTCTGCTCCGTCCTCACGCTCGTCCTCCATTTCTGTCCTCGGTGCTCCGCGCACTCCCCCGAACATGCACCAAAATACCGTCGATCCGGCGGCGAAATGGCTGGTGCAGAAGTATGGCGGAACCAGTGTGGGGAAGTTCGCGACAAAGATTGCGGAGGACATCATACCGTGCGTATCTTCCGCCCAAGTCATACGTCCAAAGTTCTGACGGTGTGCTCTCTGTTCGTGGTAGTGAGTACCTGGACCAGCACAAAGTCGCTATTGTCTGTTCCGCACGTTCGGGATCTACCAAAGCCCTCGGGACCACCAACTTACTCCTAAAAGCTGCATCTGAGGCATTGCAGCGCACAAATGGGACGTCGGATACACCCGGGACTATGTCGCCAGTCGGTTCCTTCTCAAGACTGACCCAATACCAGTCCCCATTCACGAGCCCGGGGAAGTCTTCACCAACATCCGCCACACCCGCTTCCGCACTTGCCATTTCTTCCATCAGTGCTGCCATACCCGCCTTCAGCACTACTGTAGACGTCATCCGCGCAGAGCATGTCAACGCCGCTAAATCTACCCTGCGGAATCCTGAGATCTTGAGAGAGTTAGAGACTGAGATAGATCGAGACTGTGAGGCTCTCCGGTCGTTTCTCTTCGCTACTCAGGTAAGAGCGAGTGCGTGCAGCACTCTCCGGACCGTCATGCTGACATAGGAGCCCAGATCATCGACGAGATCTCGCCGAGGTCAAGAGACAGCATTGTCGGGTTCGGTGAACGTCTCGGGTGTAAACTCATAGCAGCCATACTGCGAGATAGAGTGAGTGATTCGTTATTTCCCTCCATTTAACCGCAACCAACATCGCGTAGAACATCGATGCAGAGTTTGTAAGCTTAGAAAACGTCATCCCATCGCATGAGTGCGAGAACTTTTCGGACTCGGAGACCTTGGGCCAAGACTTCTACGACAGAGTGGCTGACCTAGTGGCGGAGCGCATCAGGCAGTGCGGGAACCGCGTGCCTGTAGTGACCGGTAAGCTCTCGCATTCATTGTCGCGAAGCCCGTTCTCATTATAGCCAAGGGTTCTTCGGACCTGTCCCTGGCTCACTTCTCAGGCAGGTCGGACGTGGGTACACCGACCTCCTTGCAGCGCTGCTTGCGGCCGGCCTGGGTGCCTCCGAGCTGCAGATCTGGAAGGAGGTTGACGGAATATTCACCGCAGATCCTCGGAAGGTGCCCACCGCGAGGTTGATCCCGATCATCTCTCCTGAGGAAGCGGCTGAGCTCACATACTATGGGAGCGAAGTCGTCCATCCATTCACCATGGATCAGGTATGTCAGGACGGCGTACCTCGTGCCAGAATGTGGGCTCACATATGCGCAGGTCATCCGGAGAAAAATTCCGATCCGTATCAAAAATGTTGAGAACCCCAAGGGCGGCGGCACTGTCATTCACCCAGATCCTGACGTCGACCCTTGCACGGTGCCTAACGGCACAGATTCACCATACCCCCCTGTCATCCCTACCACGTCCGCTGCGAAGACGAACCTGCCCCTTGCCTCGCCATACGTCGACAAGCACAGCCATATGCGGCAGGCCACGGCGGTCACCATCAAGGAGCACATCGTCGTCCTGAACGTCAACTCGAACCGGAAGAATGTCTCGCACGGCTTCCTCGCGACCATCTTCGGCACGCTCGATCGGTACGGTGTCGTCGTCGACCTGATCAGCACGAGCGAAGTTTATGTCAGTATGGCGATCGAAGAGAACGTCGACAAAAAGGTCCTCGAGCGTGTGGTGCGCGAGCTGAGGAAGAGCGGCACGGTACGTCTCCCTGCGCTTCCCCTCACCCTTCACGAGCTGATCTGTGCGCGCCGGCAGGTTACCGTGAGCCGCGACATGGCCATCCTCTCGCTCGTGGGCAAGTCGATGCGGAACATGATCGGCATCTCGGGGCGGATGTTCACGACCCTCGGCCAGGGAAACGTGAACATCGAGATGATCAGCCAAGGCGCGAACGAGATCAACATCTCGTGCGTCATCGACGGGCGCGACGCCGTCAAGGCGCTCAACCTCATCCACCAGAGCTGCCTGCAGATCAGGCCGGAGGGCGAGCGAGGGAGAGGTGCGCGCACGTCCTACTGACGCCCATGCGTTCTTCCGGGGTGCTCATCACCACACCCTCCCCACAGTGGGCCCGTGGCTGTTCTGATGCGGGCGGCCCTGCCGCGCGCCAGGCTCGCACCCTCCGCCGCCTTCTAGACGTAGAGGATGTCCTAGTGAGAAGTCTTATCAACAATTTTATATCTTGCTTCCCAGCAGTCGCATGGTGACGCCGGACGGTCATCCGGGTGATCCATCGCGTGTGAATTACCAGTACCCTTGGTTCAATGCCGCCTCATCGATGTTTAAGGGCCAGCGGCTCGTTGTGCATCGAGGCACCGGCGTTCAACGTTAAGGGCCTGAGGACGTAACTCCAGCGTTCCGATACTTGCCATGGGACCTGTGCTGCGAAAATGGCAGGTACGTGTGTATGCAGTGCCTCATCGGATGGAATATTGACTGCGTTCACAGCGACTTGACTGTCGGAATACTTCACACCTGCAAGATTAGGTTTGTGTTCCTGGCTGATCATAACGCTGCGTGGCCTGTACATGCACGCCCGATCCAACGGGGCATAAACTAAGTGCAGTGCTGTAGAGGTCCGCAACTAACGCTGCATTGCATACTTTGCAATAGCATGCTCAGATTCAAGCCGACTCGTCGAGAGAGTTGCTCGCGCGCGTCGTGACGATTACCCATGGTTTGACCACCTTGCACAAACACCTGTGGCTCCGCTGAATCGCACTGCAGATGGTCAACACTGGCCCCTACGCTATCACGAGTACATGACACCGATAAGCTCTCAAGCACTGCCCTTCAACGCTCAATTCCCAACCGGCCACTGCACCACACCCGCGCCAGGGTCGCGCTGCCAAATCTTCCCATACACCGAGCGCACAATCTGCTTCTCCTCCGTCGCGATCCAAGAATCGTCGCTGCCGGTGTTCCACGAGGCGAGCTGCTTTCCATCGCCGCTGAGGACGATCACGCTAACGGTGCTCGCTCCGAGTAGGCCGGCGATGCCGCTCGCGCTGAGGTAGATGCCTAGCACGTTCTCGTCCTTGACGTTCTTGTAGTCTCCGTGCTCGATGGGGATGGACGTCTTCTTGAAAGCGTCGACCAGGGCGAGCGCCGCCTCCGGACCCCGGGTGCCCACCGAGAGTGTGCCGCCAAGGATCTGCACCGCGATCTTGAGGAACCGGTAGAGGTCGCGGAAGGTGACGAGCGCTTCGGGGAGCTCTGCGGCGGTCGCCACGGCCTTCAACTCTCCGACGCCGACGGCCAGGAGACCGATGTCGGTGATGAAGTCGGCGATAGCCCAGTCGGGATTGAGCGCTGCGATGGTGTAGATTTTCTGGCCGCTGGCATTGGCCATGTACACGCTCTGGCTGACACCCATGATGAAGGTTATACTAGGCTTCTCGAGCCGGTGAGTGGCTCGTCAGCAGATGATTTTTGGGTGGCTCATGCGTACCGTTTGGTCGTAGGTGGACAAGAAAGATGATGCGAAGAGTTCGCTGCTATGAGGGCATCTGCGAGGGGGAGCTTTATACTCGGATGGCCCACGCAATCCTTAGGAAAACGCAGTGGATACGTAAACAGCGGGCGGTAGCTCCTCAATGACAGCTGTCAACATATACCGTGGACTGGAAGTACGACCGGTGATATCTTCAGAACCAGACTCACAACAAGGCTGATGACACTTTTTTGAGGTCGCATGATTCAGATGAACTTCCATACCAGCGACTACACAACATCGGCATGCATGTACACAGTAGCCGCGGCACCCGACGAGGGTGCGTGCTGATCCAGTATTCAGTGTATAGTTCCAAGCGTCCCAGAAGGTCCCCAAGTCCCAGCGCTGGGTGTCATACGACCTATCAATAAATGCCACTTTGCCAATCTTCAATTCCTCTGTGGTGCACCGCGCTCGGTACTTGAGCTAGAACTCTTCCAGAATGGCAGACTATCACCGACATAGTCAGACACCTTGGATTTTCATCAGGTAGTGGTGCTACAAAACAGGACTTCGCTGTCTTGTATCACATTGTACATAATATGTGCTACTTACTCATAGTCCTTAGGGCGGGCAGGTGAGCTGGTACGTGCAAGAACGCTAGTACAGGGAGAACGCAGTAGTCAGTGAACAGCTCGGCTTGAGTTTCATGAGTACGAACCTGACAAAGATGGCCAGAAGGTCCTTGATATCAGCGACTCTGCAGTCTTGAAAGCAGCTCAGCGTCGGACCATGATGTCCTGCCGGAAACCTGTAATTTGGCTGGTGTTCAAGTGGAATGAGAGCAATGAAGGATGAGGGACAGCGAGGGATGAGGGATTCGAGGGTTGCTTGCCATCCCTCAGGTGGTCGTGGAGGCAACACGCCGATGCTTTGCACCTGCCAACCAGAACTCAGCTTGTGACCCTTGAATCAAGCATATCATGATACTACCACAGCGATGGAAGTACTCTTGATGCCTTGCGGGGGTGTGTATGTGTCTCACGAGGCTACCTGAGCAGAAACCCAAAAAATGACCACCGCAGGACTCGAACCTGCAGCCTTTTGGTTAGAATCCAACTACTCAAGCAGCCGTTGGGCGATCGAAGCCAAACGCGCTACCATTGCGCCAGGTAGCCATATGGGAATAGGCACAATAATGTCATTGTCCCAATGAAGCGGGTCGATCGCAAGTACTCATTACTGCAACTTCACTTTCGCTGTACATCTCCCTGGTGCTTCTCGAGAGAGCCAGTAGCTCGCGCGGACACCCAAGAAGATCTCAAGCTGGCTGTTTGGGAGGAAAACGACAAGTTCGAGATGACGCTGTCCAACGAAGTTGAATGATCGTCTACTCACCAGAGGGCGTCCTCATGAGAGGCTGTGTGGGTAGAGGTGGGTCCCATGGTAGAACCCAATTGGCCTCGTGTTTGTGAAGCGCCTCCATGGAGATAGGATGACCATCCGTGCCTTCTCAGGATGCTTCGGTGCCTGGCAGACAGGCACCGTTGTCGCGTTCTCGCTGACAAAGGAAGGTACTGGAGGAAGGAGCAGCCCAGAAGCCTGAAGGGCAAGGTTAGCAGGTGCATGGGCACTGAACAAAGTTCTCTCTCATTGACCCTATGCGCGGTGGGATCAGGGCGATCAACGGACGGTCAAGGTACGAGGCGAGGCGTTCGAGCGTGTATTGCCCGGATGCCCGCCCGAGAGCTGCCCGCAGCGCTGGTGCTGGCATGATCGGTGCAAAGTCGCGCAGAGCACCCCGAACTCTATGGTGATGCCATCGTACGGCATACAAGAGAGCCCCGGACGTCGCCAGGTGCGTCAGAGATCGTTGCGGAGGTACTGATACCGGATGATCGTGGTGTGTTGAGACAACGTGGGTACGCCTTGCAATTCCGGATGAGCCGGAGTCGGAGCGAGAGCGAGCACGCGGGCGTCTACGCGGGGCAGCGTGTAGACGCCCGTGAACACCGGAGAGCAGGGCGAGCGTCCATGACTGTCATCTTTTCGCTCTCCGCCACTGTTCCCCTTTAGATTCTCTCTTCTTTCGTCCCTCGTTTCTCTCTCGTTCTTCTTTACGACCATCATGCCTGTCTCCCGAGAATCCTCAGACCGCGATCCCCTCGCCGCCGCCCTTAGACCGCCTATAGACGAGACCGAGGAGGAGAAAGCACACCGGCTAGCAAACGAGGAGGCCGCAAAGCGCGTCAGTCACGCTATAGATGAGGCCATCCGTCTCGAGGACAAGCAGCGGAAGAAACGGAGGCAAGTCCGACTGCTCCTTCTCGGCCAGAGCGAGTCAGGTCGGTCCGACAGTATGCATCCATCTCGGCCGTTCATACTGAGACGGATCAATAGGAAAGTCTACCACGCTACGTCGTGAGTCGATTTGTTCACGTACTACGAGGGCAGTGGCCTCCAGGGACACGTACAGCACCCTCGTCGTGATCGGCGAATCCACATACTACGGACTTAGGGCACCATCCTGCCCTGCTAATACGATGGCCTCCCCGGTCCGTCCATATATCACTGCAATCACATGGTTGACAGTCCCCCATGGCTCGCTGCGTGAATTCCTCGCGAACCCGCCCTCGTACGCAGTATTCTTCACCTCGCTGACCGCCTCATCCAGAATTTCAACGATTATATACCCCGAATGCGTTCCGAGAGGAGAGGGTCCTGTGGCGTGCGGTTATTCAGCTGAACATAGTACGCTCTATCCATACCATTCTGGACGCCTTGAGCGACATCCGGCGAGGTGACGTCTACCCCTCCTCGACATACACCTCTGATCCGGACTCCGACTCGGAATCGGAACGTCATGCACCTCTACCATACCACCTGGAGGAACTACGCAGGCGCCTATACCCTCTTCGCCATGTAGAACTGCTGCTCATCGCAAAGCTCGTTCCCCCGAACGAGCATGAGGCCACAACCCTAGGTGTCGGCGGAAGCAACAGTGTCAATGGCAACGTATCACCTTACGGCAGTAGCCATTCGCAGTCGTCGCATGCGTTCCATCACCAAGAAGTCTTTGTTCGCCCTGGTGCGTCCTGGAAGTTGCGCACCTCAGGCAGACCACAGTCCGCTGGGACAACAGGCCAGGAGACCATTGACGAGTCTCAGACGGTACTCAATCACTGCCGCGCCGACATGGTCACCCTGTGGCACGATCCCGTCGTCCGACAAGTGCTACGGCGCCGGAAGATCAGGCTGGAGGAAAGCCCCGGGTTGTGAGCATATCTGCGCTGTATGGTGATGCACTAGCTGACGAATATGCAGTTACCTCAACGATCTGGATCGAGTCACCTCTCTGTCGTATTTCCCGTCCGACAGTAAATCTTCCTGTGACTTTTCGACCATCCAGACGTCCTGATATCTCCACAGACGATGTGCTAAAGGCACGCCTTAAGACCGTGGGCGTTTCGGAGTACAGCTTTCACATGGAGGCTGGCTCAGAGACCGGAACAGAATGGCGAATCATTGACGTAGGCGGATCACGTTCGCAGGTCAGCACTACGGTTTTTGCCTACCGCCAAACAACCCACTAACAGCTTGACGCCAGCGACGTGAGTATACCCTAATCAGTGTTGTGGCGAGATGCTGATATAACCTCCCCCTAGCTACTTGGGTACCCTTTTTCGACGATGGTACGCGGGTTGACCGTATCATATTGACTTGTTCGCTGATTAACTGGCCATATGCACAGTGAATGGTCAGGATCCTTGCATGGCGGGATCTGCCTTCGACTAATTGTTTGTGCAGCCATCATCTTCCTCGCGCCGATCTCTGCATTCGATCAAACCCTCGTGGAGGATCGGAGTATCAACCGACTGGTTGGTGTTCATGTCAGTCATTAACGCTGAGTCTGCATCCTGACATGCCATATAGGAGGATAGCGTACTTCTTTGGAAAGAGGTTTGCTCCAACAAACTCCTAGCCAAAGTCGACCTGGTCCTATTCCTGAACAAGTGCGACATCCTGGCAACAAAGTTGAAGTCTGGTGTCCGGCTTGCGAAGTATGTACGAAGCTTCGGAGATCGACCGAACGAGCCCGAGGTAGTTGAGAAATGTGAGTGCGGAGACTCGCACGCTTTACATATCAGCAACACTAACGGCTACCTAACAGACTTCCGGAGCAAGTTCAGTGCCATTCATCGCGAACACTCGCCTATCCCACGGAAATTCTACGGCTTCTGTACCTCTGTTACAGTACGTCGTTGTCGTAAGATGCACATGTTCGTGTGGGGATTGACTTCGGTTCCAGGACACAACCACCACTGGAGGAATCATCGCCAGTGGTAAGTGTTCCATTCTCCTGTCGTGTACTTATCCGGCAATGCATCTGACGTGACACAGTCAAGGATATGGTTATACGGGAACACCTGCGTGCCTCGAAACTCCTCTAACGACCGCTACCTGTCTTGCAAACCCCATGCTTGAATATTGCCTCGGATGTGAACATTTCTGGTCGGCATCGGCCGTGCCAGGGACATACAGTGCCACCTTCGGTGTCAACCCACTCATCGGATGCATGCGTACCCACATACCCTAACCCCTGTTACCGATTGACCCCACATCCTCGACCCCACCATCATTGCCCCAAACGACCTCCGAATCCCGACACCCTCATCTATCCATTACCCTCATCCCAACCATGCGTCATCATAAACAGAGTGATTAGTGTCAATGCCGTCAGACGATATACATTGCTACGAGCATTCAGTCAACACTCATGTACGATGCCTCATCTCCCACAATTTGCCAGAGCCCGCTAATCATCGTTCGTCATTAGTCACGTCCGAATCTCAAGTGCACTTCGGAACCGCACCTTCTGTCCATAGCCAACGAGCCACTCCACTACGTCCCTGCCTCCGCGCGCGGCTTTCTATACCTTGCATATCACCTCCCTGCACGATTTGTTCCGGCCCCCCTCCCTCCAGACGTGTTTCGTCGTGCATATCTATCTATATCTTCTGCATTGTGTATCGTGTGCTCATAGCGTTTTACGATTCCTGTGACTGCTGTACAAGAGCGGAATGACATGTTGTATGTATCGCTACCCTCAAGCCTGCTGCCGCTGACCCCCTTGTGCGCGAGGTGAGTCATCCATGCCCTGCCTCCGTCCACTGCACGGTCCTCCCTCGTCCAGCGGATATCGGACTCCGTGTCCGGACTGGGCATTACACCCGCCACAGGAGCGCCGTGGCACTGCGGCTGCCGCGCAGTGGCACTGCGCTCTTGCTGCACCGCATCGCTGACGCTGGACGTTGCTGCTGCTGCGAGATCCGGCCCAGCGCGGCCTCATCGTGTGTGTGTGTGGTCTGTTGGCTGGCGGCGGCTCACGTCGGGGCATGTCCGTCGAAGGGCGGCAGACGCTGGCTGGGCTGCTTCTCTGACGGTCCCTGTGGGCGCGTTGCTGCTTGTTGTTTCGATCTCACCCCCTTGCGGTGCAGCGCAGGGCTTCTTGGCCAGCTTCTGAACTTTGCGGAGGGTAGGCACGCTACGTCGAACCGCTCTCACATTCCAGCATGTATCATGACCGTCGTGTTGAATGACGGGGGCAGCAGCAGTGTCAACGCTAGCCTCGGCCGGGGCCGGTCCGTAGCGTCGAGTGTACCGCCGGCGTGCATATGCAATGTCCAGTTGTCCGTACGCGTTGGTGACCGTCCCCAGTATGGACATCTCATCCTTCCCGCAGACAGCGGACACTGACAGACGTGTAGCTCGGAGTGGGTGATTCCCTGTCTTGTCCATCAAGCGGATGTGGGACGAGATCTCATTGGAATATCCACCTACGCACCACATACGACATTCGTGCGCAGTGGATGTCATGCAAAGGCCTGCATGAGCCTGATCGGCGGAGATACCAGGAAACACTCGGGCGCATTGCATAGCACGCACAACTACGGGGCAATCGTCGTGTGCAGCGCGGTCGATCAGGCCGAGGCGAACCGCGACGCTTCTTCAAGAACACTGCATGAGAATCCAGGGCAGCCCCTCGCCGTCCTCGCTGGCGAAGTATTGGTCTTCAGGCTTCGAAGGACGCTCGCTTACCTCGACAAGACAACAGCGACGTTGCTGCGTGTCCCGCGCGCGCCCTCGTCTCACGCACCCGTATATCCCCCGTCCCGGT